CTACATTCTCTTTTCCCCAGTGATACACGCTTATTTAACCCACTTTTCACCCCAATCTTTTTTTTTCCCCAAAAATCCTGAATTAATACATTTATAGTCCCTCTTTCCGCCATAGCTTATCCTTCAACATTATTGCTACCCTTCTTTAGCTCTAACTCTATTTAAAACCCCCTAAACCTAATCCCATTTTTTCCCTCTCCACTGAAACTCTCCACCCCCTTCAGCTTTGTTCACTTAAAGCCAGGACATCCAGCTTCTTTTTCATTCATAACATCCACAATCATCTCTTTCTTATCATCTGCACAACATCCACGCACATTCAGACTTCCCATTTGACAATTTTTCTTCTTTTATTCTTTTTAGTAATCTTTACAGAAAAGGGGTTACTAGCCTTTGTTCCCGGCATTTTAGTTGACTTTTACAACACGCATGGCTTACGGAGGAAAGATTCTTATTCCACTTTCCCCATGGATATAAAAGGAAAATTAATAAGACCAAGAAACTATTAAGATAAAATCAAAGAAAACTCAGATGAGTGTGTATAAATAAATGTGTACATGTATTTTGTGTGTGACCTAAGTGCAAGTTAGAATTTAGCAAGACATGCCTGTAATCTTGCATATTTATGAGACGACAAAAGACTCAGCAATCCTACCATCATGTAAAACAATCCCCGGGCTTCGTTTTACACTCACTTGGCAGGAGGGTTAGTACCTCCCTGGGTGGTTGCTGTCTACCAACCTACTACCTATATATATATATATATATATATATATATATATATATATATATATTATATATATAATAATATATACATACATATATATATACATACATGTTGTTACGTGTGTATCACCGATTATAAGGCGAAAATCTCATCCAGCTCCTCAGAGCTGGGGCGTGTGCCCAAAATGCAGCATGCATTACCCCTTTGAACAGCCGCGCTGAGCCGCTGGAACAGAAACTAGCTGCCCTGGGATCCCTAGTTACCCTGATGAGTCTTTTTCCCAGCTCCTTAAGGAAATTAGATGCACTCTTTCCCCATGAGCCAAGGGTCTCTGAGCCTATGGGGAAAAAACATATAATGATGGGCAAGTTCTTTCCCTATTTTCTAGACTTTTGGGACTCCTAAAGCTGGCAGCTGCCCCTCCTTCCCCCTGGTGTATTGGAGATAGGTATTTAGCCAAGGTAGATGCACATGTATAGTCCCACACCACCTGCTTCCCATCTGTCCAGGCTTGAAGGGTATACCATTGGACCGTTTCTGGCTGCCATCAGATCTGCATAGTTGGGGTGGCTCCCTTACTGTGGGCATCCAGCTGTTTTGAGGCTCCTCTTGATAATGTTATTAACCTCCTCATGTCTTGCAATCTTTCCCTCGGATTTACGGCACACAAGACCATGGTACCCGAATCGGTCTGCTGCTTCACTGCCACAAATACACCTGTGTTCGGCGAGAATAGGGGCGGCAAGTCGAAGGGCAACACCGATGCGGATGGTCTGTGGGTCGAGGCGTGTGCCAAGGCTGGAGTTGGGAACAGCCAACAGAAAGTCCCCAGCATGAGGGGCTCTCACTGCCAGCAGGCGGGCTCTATCCTTTCCCTGACACACTCTGAAGCATCGTTGAGGCTATATTTTCCACTATTGGACCATCCAGTGCGATTGTTTGTAGTTGTTGGGGGGAGCAGGTCTGGTTTCTGAGCCCGTTAGATTATCCCAGATCATTGCTCCGTCAATGAATTTTTGGTCCTGGGCTCCAATCTTGTCCCTAAGATGTTCAGGGAGAATCGCTGCTACAAGCTCTCTGGATGCAATACACGAGGACAGAAAAGCAGGTAACGCAATCTGTGATGACTTGCGGACACCAATGCCTCCTAGTCTGACTGGAAGTGTAGCTTGGTTCCACTGCCCGTCTTCTAGAGTAAGGTTAAGTACTTTCGTAAAAATCTGCCTCAGAATACTGTCATATTCGTGCAGTATAGGGTTATCATATGAAGGTGCACATCTTAGGAAATATGTCAACTGGGCAGACTCAAGCACTTTGTGAGAAGGTACAAGGCATCGTGGGTGTCCAGATTGCCTATTCGTTGTTCCATTCTCCTTAACTCTTCCAATTTCTTCCTGAGAATTGCGTCAATGGCATTGCTTCCCAGAGGTGCTCCTAGCAAGACCTATTTGGGGGCATGACTGCTGCTCTGGTAGTAATATATATAATATATATAAAAATATATTAATAATATATAATAATATATATATAATATATATATATATAATATTAAAATATATATATATATATATATAAATATATAATATTTTAAATATATATATATAATATAATATATATATATATATATATATATATATATAATATATATATTATATAAAATATATTAATATAAAATAATATATATAATATATATTTTATATATATATATAATATATATAATATAAAATATATATATATATATATATATAATATATATAAATATATATATATATATAATATATTATTATATATAATATATATAATATATATATTATATATTTATATATAATATATATATATATATATATAATTTATATATATATATATATATATATTATATATATATATTATATATATATATATATATAAATAATTATATAAATAATATATATATATATTATATATATATTTTATATATAAAATATTATATAATATATATATATATATATATATATATATATATAATAAAATATATAAATATTTTTTTTTTTTTTTTTAACAAGTCGGCAGTCTCCCACCGAGGCCTTTTCTAAATCCATAAATGCAATAAAAACTTCCCTACTTTTATCTAAATACTGTTCCCATATATGCCTCAATGTAAACACTTGATCTACACATCCCCTACCCCCACTGAAACCTCCTTGGTCATCTGCAATCCTACATTCTGTCTTACCTCTAATTCTTTCAATTATAACCCTACCATACACTTTTCCTGGTATACTCAGTAAACTTGTTCCTCTATAATTTTTACAATCTATATACTATACATATAGTCGGACTCGAGTCCTGGAAATGGGAAGTACAATGCCTGCACTTTAAAGGAGGGGTTTGGGATATTGGCAGTTTGGAGGGATATGTTGTGTATCTTTATACGTATATGCTTCTAAACTGTTGTATCCTGAGCACCTCTGCAAAAGCAGTGATAATGTGTGAGTGTGGTGAAAGTGTTGAATGATAATGAAAGTATTTTCTTTTTTGGGGATTTTCTTTCTTTTTTGGGTCACCCTGCCTCGGTGGGAGACGGCCGACTTGTTGAAAAAAAAAAATACATAAAACATGAAATAACTTTAAAACACTTGAAATTTTGGAAAGTTTTCAGACATAATGAAGAGACGTGATGCTCACGGAGCTCACAGAGAATGTAAATAAACTGGGTGGGGCACGGAGACCGTACTAGAAAGTCAGGTGGGGGGGAGCTGTATAGGGAGTTTTTGTCATAATTTGAAATGTCTGTATTAGAGGAACGCTGTAAGGAGAAACGCCGTAAAGCGGGGCCGGGTGTATATGAACAATCAGGTAACTTTAAAACACTTGAAATTTTGAAAGTTTCCAGGCATAATGAAGAACTGGGCTCACAGAGAATATAAACAAACTGGGTGGCCCACAGTGACCATATAAGAAAGTCATGTGGGGGGAACTATATAGCGTGTTTTGGTCATAATTTGAAATGCCTGTATTAGCAGAACGCTGTAAGGCAAAACGCCTTACACAGCTACCAATAACGTTAGGAAAAAATACCTAAGCCGGGTCAACAATGGGCTTCCCCCAAGGTCTTAGAAATGAGGGTCCAAGAAACACCTTATTTTGTCCTTGAGTTTTGAAAGTCCCTAAGTCATAGAAATCATTGATAGAGCAGTTTTCAGGAAAGTAACCAGTGTGAATTAGGAACATCCACTATACCTTATTTGGTCCAAATTTATTACAATCTAATGATCCTAACAGGAAAAGCCAGCCAAAAAATCACTATGTAGCTTTAACCCAGGATAAGCCAATAAGTCAATGTTACTTACATATTTCAATATTTGAAGCAACATCTTGAAACAATTGTAATACCCTAAGATTTCCTTGTACATAGTGCTAGAAGACAAAAGCAAATAACAAATAAAGTAAGTATTTGTACACAATTAGTGAAAATTGCAAATGCAGGTATAGCATGCTAAAATGCCTCAAAACACATAATTTGGCATAAATAAATTGGAAAACAAATACCTATACACATTTATGACTTGCTCAGAAGTTATTTTTTTTCATCCACTCTTGAGTTCAATTTTCTTTTTATAACTGTATGTGAAAAATAAGCTTTTACAATCAGCATTAAAAGAATAAATTTTGCTACACACAGGGGAGTTTTAATGTCTTGGCTTCACACAGTTTAAGGGTTATTATTAAATAATATACTGCATACCTGTAAAATATGAATAATTTTAATTATGGTCAAGTAATATCATACCTTATTTTATGAACATCTACACTGGGGTCAACAAAAAGTGAAGCCAAAGCAGATTTTCCAACTCCTTGCATGCCCATCATGGCCACAACCAAGAAGTTGCTTTGGTCTAATAGGTAAGGGCTCAGGTCATCACAAAGGCTGAGAGACTCATCTAGAAGTCTTGCTGGACCCTTCATAATCCTCTCTGGTGTGAGAGAGGCTGTGGAAAATGTTATACACTAAGTTACACAGTTCAATACCAATCTTCGTTGAAGTTTTAGTTCCCTTAAAACTAAGAAAACCAACATTTGCGTAACATCTTACAAACAGCTTACAGAATGAGCTTTAATTTTTCAGTTGTTTCCACTTGTGTTACTGTGGTTCTGATGAGAATAATAAAGTTTAATCAAGAAATGTGTATGCTGAGAAAGCCTAAGGAGAAAATGGTAGTTATGAGTAAAAGTGGTGAGACAAGGAAAAGTAGAGGTATTGGTAAGGCAAAGAAAGCATTTCGAGTCCTTAATCTAGAACAAAAGGAGGCAGTGATTCCATGCACATGGCACAGAGGAACAAGACATTAAGAGGAAGAGGCAGACATTAGTGTGAATGAAATGGGTGAGGCATCAGGCTAGAGTGAAAGAGAAAAACTCTGAGAATGGATGAGAGTAAGACAAATACTGACAAGAGGTAGGGTAGGGATAGTATTGGAATGGATGATGTATTTGTTTAACATACAGATGAAAGAGAAATTATCAAAGGAGTGGTAGAGAGCATGCACAGTTCCTATGAATAAGAGAAAAGATGAGTGTGTAAATACTATTGGGGAAGAATTCTTTTGAGTATAGGTGATAAAATGTATGGCAGAATTGTCAAAAGTATTTTTTTTTTTTTTTGCACCTCAACGGTAGTTCCCCACCAAGGCAGGGTCAGCTGCCCAAAAAATGAGCTAAGGGATGGGGAGGAGTAGAATTATAGAGGAACAAGGATTTAGGAATGAAAGGATGTGGGAATTGTGTTAAAATATATGTAGCGAGCAACACACCCACAAAGTGATCTTCACAACCACTGAAATACTAATCAGACAATTTCAAATATGATATACTGTGCTCCAATCACAACCACATTGAAGGACATACAAGCATAATTCCATGCCTAGAGAACCTAAGAAATAGCCACATGTACGAATGTTCAGTACATTTAACTTCAACATCAGAAAAGTGACTAGGACAAAATAATCATAGAGCTATCAGATATATTGCCTAGGAAATGGTCCTGAGAGCCTTAACCCATAAACCCAAACTAGTGCACGAAAAAGCTGAATATGTATTGAAACAGAGCCTGTTTAAAATACATTCCACAGAGAAGTCCTACATTTCCCAAATCTCTCTCTCTCTCCTCTACACTTCTCTCTTCTCCAGGTGCATATACGCTTACTATAACCCACTTTTCACATCCAACCTTTATTTTACTCCACATAATCCTTGAATTAATACATTTGTAGTCCATCTTTTCCTGCCATAACTTATCCTTCAATATTATTGCTACTCCTTCTTTAGCTCTAACTATTTGAAACCCCTGACCAAATCCCATTTATTCCTCTCCACTGAAACTCTCCTACCCCCTTCAGCTTTGTTTCACTTAAAGCCAGGACATCCAGCTTCTTCTCATTCACAACATCCACAATCATCTCTTTCTTATCATCTGCACAACATCCACGCACATTGAAACTTCCCACTTTGACAATTTTCTTCTTCTTTTTAGTAGTTATTACAGGAAAAGGGGTTACTAGCCCATTGTTTCCGGCATTTTAGTCGACTTTTACAACACGCATGGCTTACGGAGGAAAGATTCTTATTCCACTTCCCCACGGATATAAAAGGAAAATTAATAAGACCAAGAACTATTAAGATAAAATCAAAGAAAACTCAGATGAGTGTGTATAAATAAACATGTACATGTATGTGTAGCGTGACCTAAGTGTAAGTAGAAGTAGCAAGACGTACCTGAAATCTTGCATGTTTATGAGACAGAAAAAAGACACCAGCAATCCTGCCATCATGTAAAACAATTACAGGTTTCCGTTTACACTCACTTGGCAGGACGGTAGTAACCTCCCTGGGCGATTGCTGTCTACCAACATGAGAACTCATTCTTTAGACCAAGAAAGTTTAAATTTAAATGAAATCAGCAAGGCTTTAGGTGTAGACATAGCCCTTTTACACAATGAGGCTGCAAGAGCACTGGCAAAGAATTACAGACCAGTACCACAAACATCACATATCATGAAGTCTTTGAAAGGGTAGCAATATCCCAAACTACTAATTTTATTGGAAAGTATGATCTACACAGCTGTTCACATATGCTAAAATTGGAATATGCAGTGTTCTTTTTACACTTAATCAAAATACATGCAGGTAAAAAATTAAAAAGTGAAGACAATTACCAAAATGGTTACCAGAGTTATAAGAATTTACAAAGACACAGCTAAAAATGCCCTTGTTTGCTGATAGATCATCCCTCAGCAAGCCCCCCAAATGTGCTACATATTGGAATGTCTTCAAGTTGCAATATGCAGCTCAAAAGTGTGAAAGTGGCCATACCAATCAAGATTTTCCAAATATAAAGTAGCTAATAGTTCAGTAAATAAATAACTTCAATACTACTAACCTTCCATCATAAGAGGCTTTGATGCTATTTGGTATGGTTGGCTAGAGGAATTAGCTCCTGAGTTCACAGTGGGGACAGAATCCTTCCTGTAAGAATCATTAGACCTTTATCAAACGAAAATTTAACTATTGACGCAACAGCTCTTTTGTTATGCATGCCTAACAGTGTCTGTACTCAAAATAAAAATATCCTTAATTAGTTAGCCCTTTCATTGTCAGTGCCATAATATTATGGCTTGCAAGCCAGAGTTGGTGCCGTAATATTACACCAAAATTCTGGTGGTTTCCAGTCTTGTGGGAGAAAGCTGGTAGGCCTACATATGAGAGAATGGGTCTGAGTAGTCAGTGTGTGCAGTACATGTATAAAGAAAAATCCTGCAGCACGCAGTGCAAGAGAAAAAAAAACTGACTGTTTTTGGTTTAAAACACCGACATTGCGGTGTTTTTCCTATGGTATTTATGGTTATATTCTAGTTTTCTTGGTCTCATTTGATAGAATGGAAGATTTTTTTTTTTTTTCAACAAGTCGGCCATCTCCCACCGAGGCACGGTGACCCAAAAAAAGAAAGAAAATCCCCAAAAAGAAAATGCTTTCATCATCATTCAACACTTTCACCACACTCACACATAATCACTGTTTTTGCAGAGGTGCTCAGAATACAACAGTTTAGAAGCATATACGTATAAAGATACACAACATATCCCTCCAAACTGCCAATATCCCAAACTCCTCTTTTAAAGTGCAGGCATTGTACTTCCCATTTCCAGGACTCAAGTCCGACTATATGAAAATAATCGGTTTCCCTGAATCCCTTCACTAAATATTACCCTGCTCACACTCCAACAGATCGTAAGGTCCCAAGTACCATTCCTCTCCATTCACTCCTATCTAACACGCTCACGCACGCTTACCTGGAGTTTACCTTGAGAGAGTTCAGGGGGTCAACGCCCCCGTGGCCCGGTCTGTGACCAGGCCTCCTGGTGGATCAGAGCCTGATCAACCATGCTGTTACTGCTGGCTGCACGTAAACCAACGTACGAGCCACAGCCCGGCTGGTCGGGAACTGACTTTAGGTGCTTGTCCAGTGCCAGCTTGAAGACTGCCAGGGGTCTGTTGGTAATCCCCCTTATGTATGCTGGGAGGCAGTTGAACAGTCTCGGGCCCCTGACACTTATTGTATTCTCTCTTAACGTGCTAGTGACACCCCTGCTTTTCATTGGGGGGATGTTGCATCGTCTGCCAAGTCTTTTGCTTTTGTAGTGAGTGATTTTCGTGTGCAAGTTCGGTACTAGTCTCTCTAGGATTTTCCAGGTGTATATAATCATGTATCTCTCCCGCCTGCGTTCCAGGGAATACAGTTTTAGGAAACTCAAGCGCTCCCAGTAATTGAGGTGTTTTATATCCGTTATGCGCGCCGTGAAGGTTCTCTGTACATTTTCTAGGTCAGCAATTTCACCTGCCTTGAAAAGTGCTATTAGTGTGCAGCAATATTCCAGCCTAGATAGAACAAGTGACCTGAAGAGTGTCATCATGGGCTTGGCCTCCCTAGTTTTGAAGGTTTTCATTATCCATCCTGTCATTTTTCTAGCAGATGCGATTGATACGATGTTATGGTCCTTGAAGGTGAGATCCTCCGACATGATCACTCCCAGGTCTTTGACGTTGGTGTTTCGCTCTATTTTGTGGCCAGAATTTGTTTTGTACTCTGATGAAGATTTAATTTCCTCGTGTTTACCATATCTGAGTAATTGAAATTTCTCATCGTTGAACTTCATATTGTTTTCTGCAGCCCACTGAAAGATTTGGTTGATGTCCGCCTGGAGCCTTGCAGTGTCTGCAATGGAAGACACTGTCATGCAGATTCAGGTGTCATCTGCAAAGGAAGACACGGTGCTGTGGCTAACATCCTTGTCTATGTCGGATATGAGGATGAGGAACAAGATGGGAGCGAGTACTGTGCCTTGTGGAACAGAGATTTTCACCATAGCTGCCTCGGACTTTACTCTGTCGACGACTACTCTCTGTGTTCTGTTAGTGAGGAAATTATAGATCCATCTACCAACTTTTCCTGTTATTCCTTTAGCACGCATTTTGTGCAATATTACGCCATGGTCACACTTGTCGAAGGCTTTTGCAAAGTCTGTATATATTACATCTGCATTCTTTTTGTCTTCTAGTGCATCTAGGACCTTGTCGTAGTGATCCAATAGTTGAGACAGACAGGAGCGACCTGTCCTAAACCCATGTTGCCCTGGGTTGTGTAACTGATGGGTTTCTAGATGGGTGGTGATCTTGCTTCTTAGGACCCTTTCAAAGATTTTTATGATATGGGATGTTGGTGCTATCGGTCTGTAGTTCTTTGCTGTTGCTTTACTGCCCCCTTTGTGGAGTGGGGCTATGTCTGTTGTTTTTAGTAATTGTGGGACGACCCCCGTGTCCATGCTCCCTCTCCATAGGATGGAAAAGGCTCATGATAGGGGCTTCTTGCAGTTCTTGATGAACACGGAGTTCCATGAGTCTGGCCCTGGGGCAGAGTGCATGGGCATGTCATTTATCGCCTGTTCGAAGTCATTTGGCGTCAGGATAACATCGGATAGGCTTGTGTTAACCAAATTCTGTGGCTCTCTCATAAAAAATTCATTTTGATCTTCGACTCTCAGTCTGGTTAGCGGCTTGCTAAAAACTGAGTCATATTGGGACTTGAGTAGCTCACTCATTTCCTTGCTGTCATCTGTGTAGGACCCATCTTGTTTAAGTAGGGGCCCAATACTGGACGTTGTTCTCGACTTTGATTTGGCATAGGAGAAGAAATACTTTGGGTTTCTTTCGATTTCATTTATGGCTTTTAGTTCTTCCCGCGATTCTTGACTCCTATAAGATTCCTTTAGCTTAAGTTCGATGTTTGCTGGAAGTCCAAGCCCCTTGCCCACAAAACCTCCTTTACCCCCTCTCTCCAACCCTTTCGAGGACGACCCCTACCTCGCCTTCCTTCCCCTATAGATTTATATGCTTTCCATGTCATTCTACTTTGATCCATTCTCTCTAAATGACCAAACCACCTCAACAACCCCTCTTCTGCCCTCTGACTAATACTTTTATTAACTCCACACCTTTTCCTAATTTCCACACTCCGAATTTTCTGCATAATATTTACACCACACATTGCCCTTATACAGAATGGAAGATATATTACAGAAATAGAGATGAATCTGAATGGTTTTTGGAATAGAAGTACATACCTTGAAATTGAGCTCAAAGTAGCAGAAATGTTCGATTTTTGCCGATGTTCAAGTGTAAACAAATCACACCACATGTCCAATACACAACTAGTGGGTCTTGTATGCTTTCACATATGTGCTGATATTATATATACCATTTTTACAATAATGCAAAAGTCTGCATAACAGTAAATCTATTTTTTGTGTGAATAAAAATTCAAAATGAAAAGCAAGCATAATATAAGAGGGGCCAGGAGTCATGACTAATGAACAGAGAAAATGTTATTTTAGTGCTAGGAATGTCTGCATTGTTTATTCTGGCCCCTATTTACCTTCTAGTCCAGCTTGCCTGCAATGAGCTCATGCAGCTGCTACGAAGTGGTTATTGAACCAGTCGGAAAACATTTCTTGGGTTACCCAGGCTTTTTTGTTGACATAATAATACACAGGTAAATTGCATACACCTTTCAGATATCTCAGACATTTGCTTTTTCCAATCACTGCCAACTTCACCTTGTGTGTACCTGCAGCATTGGCACAGCCAAAAATAGTTAACCTGTCCTTAGCATCCTTAAAACCTGTTGGTGCTCTGTCATCAGTTGTTGTTAATGTTTTTCTAGGAACATAGCGCCAGTAGATAACTGTTTCATCAGCATTGTAAATTTGTTCAGGACTAAAGTTTTCATCCGATATTATCTTGGCAAATTCGTCAATGTAATTTATCGTGTTTATCGCCTTCTTTACCAAAGGTCTGGCACTAGGAGTTTTCATTTGGTCCATAGTGGCTTATTTAGTTGTTGCAAACACTAAAAAGAATGGAATAATACAAAATGTATCATATGAACTCATGGGATCATCCTCACTGGCTGATAAACAACAGCACATTGGCTGTACATGGAGTGTCGGGGCCGGACGAATGACTTATACCGAGTTCAGTGACGATCACCGAGCCAATATTCTGACGAAAAAACGTTATTTATTCCAAATACGTATTATGTATTCCAATGACGTAATCAGGAGGTCCACTGTATATGTTACTAGAACAATAGTAATAAACAATTTCAGACATGGGCTTGAGGCAGACAAAGAGTTAAATGTTTATACACGTCTCCCTCATAGGATACAGGAAAGTATTGGTTTGGAAACAGGGTAGTTGACGAGTGGAACAGTCTGCCAAGTAGGGTTATTGAGGCCAAAACCTCGGGTAGTTTCAAATTTAGGTTGGATAAATACATGAGTGAGGGGGGTTGGATTTGAGTGGGACTTGCATATGAGTGGATAGAGTTATCAGAGCTTATTTCTTGGGTGGCATTGAAAATTGGGTTGGGCAAATATTTTGTTAGTGGGATGGATTGTAAAGGATCTGCCTAGTATGGGCCAACAGGCCTGCTGCAGTGTTCCTCCGTTCTTATGTTCTTATGATAAACAAAATTCACCACATTTTTGTTTGTTGTTGGTCTTCAACTTGTACATGTTATAAGCATTCAGCATGGAAATGTCAAGAAGATGGAAAAAAAAGTTCCATGTACCACTTATAACTCTTGCGAGCACAATCAGCAAACCCAATTTGCATGTCACATTTGTCCACTAATCGCATATTGAGGTTGTAGTCTATCACAGCTGCAGGTTTCAGAATGGGTTCATTGGTCTTTTATTCTGCATGCTACTGTCTGCCATTTCTTTTCAACGAACTGATGTCAATAACGTGACATCACGTTTGTCATGCCACCGAAATGCCATGATGTCATTGGCAGCAAACACCTGCACCTCACCTTTACGAGTGCCTGTGTCAAACCTAGGTATATGCTTACAATTTCCACGAGCTGTGCCACAAACGTCTGTCATGTTCACTTGCAAAAAATCACTGAGTAAGGGACTTGTGTACCAGTTATCAGTATATAATATATGCCCCACACTGAGATATGGTTCCATCATTATTCTAACCACATCACCAGAGATACCCAATAACTTTCTGGTATCTCTCAATGTATTACTGCCAGTGTACACAATTATATTCAAAACCAGACCACTTTTACAATCACACAGTACAAATAACTTTATACCAAAGCGTTTCCTCTTGCTTGGTATATACTGCTTGAACGACAGTCTGCCTTAGAACAAAATCAAAGACTCATCAATAACAAGCTTCCTGAAGGGATAAAAATACATATGGCACTTTTGTTTCAGGTACACGAACACATTCCTGATCTTATATAACCTGTCATTTCTGTCAGGCCTTGTTTTGCTACTGTTACATACGTAACAGTAGCAAAAATCGATTCACTGGTATAATATCATTAAACCTGGGGTTGAAATCAGACGTTCTTTCGACCAGTATGTGGTGACAGTGTGCTTATATACATGTGGCATAAGCATTATTGTGGCAAAGAACAGGTATATCTCTGCCACAGTTGTGTCCTTCTACTGGTGTAGCCGTGATCTTGGTGAAAGAATTGTGTTTGCCATGGTGTACTCATAGTATGTGTTGCTTTCCATGACAATAATTTCCATCAGTGGTTCATCGAAGAATAACTAAAAGCATTCTAGTTCAGCGGCACTGTTCCCAAGTGTACACAATGGCCGTATTCCACTTTATGTTTCATCAAAGACATGGGGATTGGGAACAAAACTGGCACCTTGCTGCCAATCCCAGATGCGGTCTTCTGGTGGGTACTGGATATTGAAAAGTGGTTGTGGTTGTGGAGGTTGTTTTTGTGCAGGTTGTGGGAGTGTGGGGGTGGTTGAGGGTAGTTGTGGCTGTGCTGAGTTAGCAGCATGGCCCACTGTTGGTGCCACATGCCACATTCCCATTGTAACAATATCGTCATCTTCACACTCAGTTTGTAGTGCAGGGCCACAGGATGTACTCCGAGATTTGTTCCTTTTCCTTGGAATGGCACACGACACACTGCCAGAACGCATGCTGCGTCACACATACTGCCGCTTCACTGGAGAATATTCCCCCTCACGTCGCAACTCGAGCTGCTTTCAATAACTTGGAAATCACCATCGCTTTCACTGCTCACATCCGAGTCCTGTACATGGAGAAATAGTTTCCTTTTTCATCCTGGTACAGGTGAACGTGAATGAGACGGCCCAGCACCAGAGGTGGAAGGTCGCGGGTCATCTATGTTTTCATCACTAATTATGTTATCCTGGGCACTGCATCCAGTCACACCCTCCTGAAAACCATGGAATTCACTTTCACTGGCACTTCCATCACTGTTAGAACTATCACATGGGAACAGAATACCTCCAATTCGATGAGGAGTAAGGTAGTGAACCCCCAGATTAAGGCATCATCGGAATAAGTAATATTCGGATTAAGTAACATTTTTTCGTCAAAATATTGGCTCGGTGAACATCACTGAACTCAGTATAAGTCATTTGTCTGGAACGTGTCTGCACGGCCCCAACACTCCATGTACAGCCAGTGTGCCACTGTTTACCAGCCAGTGAGGATGATCCCACGCGTTCATACGATACATTTTAAAAAGTATCATTCCATTCTTTTTAGTGCTTGTAACTGCTAAATAAGCCACCTTGGGCCCAAAGAAAGCTTTTAGTGCCAGCCAGCCCTTTGGTAAAGGGCTGAGAGAGGGGGAAGAATGTGCCTTTTTCAGTGATTTTGCAATATGTACGATATTAAAGCAGCAGGAGTCGATAAAGGCTATAGTGCCAGCCAGCAATAAAGTGTAGCATTAACAGTGTAGCAAGTAAGTTAAGTGATTAATCGATAGAAAAAGGACAGCACGAAACTGACTCCTCCATTGTTGTTGGAGGTATATAGGGCTACTGACTAACACCACTGCCTCTGCTGGGGCCTTCACCACCACTATGTAAGGATTATCTTTCAGTGGCCCATATACACCCAACAACAAACACACTACCACTCATGACATTCTTAATACCATATTTTATTCATTCTAGAGTATAAATCATATTTCTATGTTATTAATATTGTTTATTGTGTCATATTAGATGAATTGTGCTAGATACATAAGACATAGAGCAAATATTAGTGTCATATTGAAGGACTATCTTGTCCTGTCTCCCAACACAATTCCTAACATACGCCGGAAACAACCTCTCTGGAGCACTTTTTTGAGCGACAGGGGTCCAGTGACACTCAAGCTGGTCCTAGTGGCATGAAAAAACAAAGAAGGGAAGTAACCCAGGATAAGGGCTTGGTACCTGTAGTCTTTATGGGAGGGATTTCCCTTCAAAACAATTGTAAACTCCTCCATCCTCTCCCCTCCTCCTGTCTTCCATTTACTTATTTATTTATTTATGTCTTTTCAAATAGTACATTGAGATTATGTATTTACAATAATGGGTTGCAATGCAAAGAGAGCCTCTATTATGCCTAGGCATTATGGGCCGACTGAACATTATTGGCTTACTGATTACTTAACACTAAGAATTATATCATAGTTGTACAGTAGAATATTAATTATATCATAGTTGTACAGTAGATTATTAATTATAAGTGAATCTAATTTATATAACACAAAAGATATATTCATATATTCAAAAATGCTTTTTGAGAAAACAATGATTCAATTAAATTCCTGTCGACAATGGATAAAAGGTTCAAAGTAATTGTTGAAATTATGATATGGGAATACATAATTATGCGAGTACTGAGTATTTAGCATTTAATCTAGGGTGATTAAGTGGCTTTTGAGAAGAGTCTTAAATTGATTTTCAGACCGGGTTACTTTAGTATCTTCTGGTAATGAATTCCATATTTTGGGGCCCTTTATGTTTACCTGAAGTTTACCTGGAGAGAGTTCCAGGGGTCAATGCCCCCACGGCCCAGTCTGTGACCAGGCTTCCTGCATAGAGTTTTTACACAGTGTGATATGGACCACGAGGTTCATCAAAAAGAGATCTGTGTCTTGTGTTATGGTCATGTGTCCTGTTAAGGTTGGTGAAGAGAAGTTTGAGTGGAGGGTTTATATTTGCGTGTATTGTTCTGTGTACGTAGTAGGCATATGAATGTTCTTAATGGTGAGCAGATTTAGACTTTTGAAAATTGGTGGAGTATGCTGGCGGGAGTGGGAATTTGTTATCATTCTGACTGCTGCCTTTTGCTGGGTTATTAGAGGTCTTAGGTGATTGAATGTTGTTCATCCCCATGCACAAATTCCATATGTGAGATAAGGGTATACGAGTGAATGGTACAGTGCCAGGAGAACTGCTTGTGAACATAGCACCGTATCTTTGATAGTATGCAGTCTTAGAGATTTTCTTGGTGATTTGTTGTATGTGTCTGGAACTTAAGGATACTGTCAAGGTGGATACCTAGGAATTTTCCCTCTGCAAGTCTTATGACTGATGATCCATTTAGCGTTATGTTAATTGGATGATTTGCAGCTTTGTTTCCAAACTGAATGAAATAGGTTTTATCAGTATTCAGGGTAAGTTTATTAGTCATCATCCAGGCAGGTATTTTCTGCAATTCGGCATTGACAGTGTTGGCGAGTATGACTGGGTTTGGGTGGGAGACGACGTATGTAGTGTCATCTGCAAATAATATGGGTTTGAGTAGCTGAGATGCATTCGGTAGATCATTGATGTAGATGAGAAAGAGGAGTGGTCCAAGGACACTTCCTTGTGGGACTCCTACTGTGATTGGTTGGGTGGAGGAGTTTGCACCATTTACATATACATATTGAGTTCTGCTACTAAGGTATGACTTTAGGTAGTTGAAGGAGTGGCCTCTGATACCACAGTGCATATATTTAGAGTACAGCAGTTCATGGTCGACTGTATCAAAAGCTTTATGTAAATCAATGAAAATGCCCAGCAGGACTTATTTCTTTTCGAGTGCGGTATATATTAGTTCTAGTATGTGTATGATAGCATCATTTGTGCTTTTATTATTCCTAAATCCAAACTGACAAGGGTTTAATATGTTGTGTGAGACGAGGTAGGAATAGATGCATCTATGAATTAATTTTTCAAAGATTTTAGAGAGCAGTGGTAAGTTAAATATTGGTCTATAGTTATTCAAGTCAGCTTGGTCACCTTTATGGATCGGAGTGACCCTCACTATTTTGAGGATTGTTGGGAAGGTAGACAATTCAATGGATTTGTTAGTGTTGCAATAATTGGTGACAATACTTGAGAAGCTTTTTTGTACATAAAAGCAGGCAAGTTGTTTATGTCTCCTGCCTTGTTTTTAAGGCTGTTGATGAGCGAGACTTTTAGTAGGTTGGTTGGAGCTAGGAATAGCGTATTTGGGTAGGTACCTATGAGGTAATCTGATGGACGAGTGTTTGGAATTTTGATTTGCTAAATTTTTTCCTATGGTGAAAAAACCATTGAGTGTTGCTGTTCGGTGGAGTGAGGGGTTCGTCAAGATTT